TATTTTTTACAAAGACAAAAAAAAACTCATAGATGTGAATACATGAACATGTTTACTGATATAATTTAAGTTTAGAAAGAGATTAAACAAAAACAGCAAAAACATTCCAGAAGAGTCACTTATTTTGTTGGTTGCTTACTAAAAAAGTCTTTGCTTCATTAAAGAGTTTCAGTTGATTCTTTTTATTTAATTTCAACATTGAACTTTTGTCAGCGTCCATTCATAACAAGTCAAGTAACAAAAATGTAAAGAAACTGCGCAATAGTAAAAAAAAATTATTTACCAGAACGAATGTACAGTAATCTCATTAAAATACAGTCTGACATAAAAACTGCCCAAAAAATCCTTGATTTTATTTTCAACAATTTATATAGTATTTATACAGTTTTCACAAACTAATTATTGATTTAATTGAGAACATTTGTAAAGTCTGACATAAAAACTGCCCAAAAAATCCTTGATTTTATTTTCAACAATTTATATAGTATTTATACAATTTTCACAAACTAATTATTGATTTAATTGAGAACATTTGTAAAGCTTATATAAATAAAGTTTATTTTGGTGTAATATTGTTGAATACATTTGGCTTGTGTTATAGACAAATTATATTCAAAAGTTAATTCAAATTTAGCAACAACCATTTTAACAAACTACTGCTAGCTGCATGAAAGCTTTTCTGTGGGTAGTAGCAAGATGTGGAGTGATGTTCACTTAATGCTAGTGATGCAAAGAATAACTGTAACATAGAAAGTTTTTCCTCTCTAAACAATCTCTGGCCTCAACACTACCAGTGTCGTTCTTTAATAAGGCTCCACAGTAGTGCCTTGTGATGGGACAGGGGGGTAGGTCACGGTACAGCATTTCTTCGCCATTCACCCACAGCCACTCACCAGCCAGGAAACGCAGGCCGGTCCAMACCTGCAAAAAACAAAAGTTCATTAGGGTTTGTATAGGTTTATATTATATATATGTTTGTGCAAATGGCTTGAACTTATGAAGCACTTTACACTTCAACCATTCACACACTGATGGTGGTAAGCTACGATGTAGACACAGTTGCACTGTGGAACAGGGCAGCCTCCTCAGAGGTGGGACTGCAATGTAATGGTGCCACCTGGCTCTTTGACCACCACCAGYAGGCATGGCGGGTGAAATGTCTTGCCCAAGGACACAACAGCAGAGATGGATGGAAYGAGGGATTGAGCTAGCAACCTACTGATTGCAAGACGATTCCCTTAACCACTCTGCCACAGGTGCCCACATATGCTTTTGTCAGATTGCACTCTACTAAGGCTGTATTTTTCTTCCAACTCAGTGTGGTGTCCATGAACAGGTTTGGGAAATAAGGGGTATCCATCCATCAATCCWTTTTTTTTACCTGCTTTTAATTTTCTGGGTCACAGGGTGCTTATCTCATTGTACAAGAGGTGGTATACACTCTGGACAGGTCACACAGAGAGACAAATGGGGCAAACAACCATTCACACTCTCACTCACAACCAATTCAGAATTATCAATTAACCTAACAGATGTTCTCGGTCAGTGGGAGAAAACTGGRGTACCCAGAGTAAGACTAAGACTAAGGGTCCTGTCTTTGCCTTTTCACAGATGGTGTTGTTCTTCTGTTGCACAGTTTATGCCACAACTTGCAGAGTGCACTGAAACAATTCACAGCAGTGTGTGAAACATTTGGGATGAGAATCGGCTCTTCTAATCCTGAGGCCATGGTTCTCAATCAAAAATGAGTAGAATGCTCCCCTGGGGTCAGATAAGAGTCTTTGCTTCAGGTGGAGGAGTTCAAGTTTCTGGAAATCTTGTTCACAAGTGATGGCAGGATGGAGGAAGGGATTGAGTGATGAATTGGGGCCTTAGCTGCTATGCTGTAATGAGGGTGTTGCTTCAGTCYCGTAATGAAGAAAGAGTTTTGTTGAAAGTCAAAACTCTTTCTCAATTTTATTTTCTATTTTTTGGGGACTGTTTAGGTTCTAAGCCTCACCTCTGGTAATAAGGCATAATAATAATAATAATGATTGAAAGTTTGAGGTCCCACATACAAGTGGCTGAAATGAGCTTCCTTTGTACAGTAGTCAGGCTCAGCCTTGGAGATACTGTGAGGAGCTCTATCATCTGAGGAAATCTGATTAGGATGCATTTTGCACAGCTTGCTTTGAAGATTTTTAATCAGACTCATGCTACTGGGAATAGACCCAATAAATAAAAWAATAATAATAAACATTGTCTGCTTAGGCATTTTTAATCATGACTTCTTATGTTCATCATCCATCTTTTTCTTTCTGATGTCATGTTTACAAAATTGTATCATCAYACAGGATCACTGAAGACCCCCTTTCAGGCAGTAAACATCAATCAATCACGAGTTGACTGACACAGGCTGCAAAAATAAAAAATTTTCTCAGCAATCAGGGCTGGAATCAATAATATATGTACATGTTAGCTTAACACAAGAAAAACATGTTTCCTGACCCGTGGGAGGCATTTTACCCTTTTCCGGCTGAAGATCATGGTCTCCAATTTCGTGGCACTGATCGTCATCCCAGCCACTTCACACTCAGCTGCGAGCCGCTCCAGTGAAAGATGGAGATCACAATCTGATTAAACCAATAGGAACACATCATACACAAAAGCAGAGATGTGATCCTAAGGCCATCAAAACAGATCCCCTCAGCACCTTGGCTGCATCGAGAAATTCTGAATCTGTGACAAAGGGCAACCTTGGAGGAGTCCAACTTTCGCTGGAAATGAGCCCAACTTACTGCCAGCAATGTGGACCAAGTTCTGACACTGGTTTTACAGGGRCCTAAGCCCGTWTCAAAGGGCCTGGTACCCCATTTTCCTGGAGTAMCCCCCACAAGAGTCACCGAGGGACATGGTCAAATGCCTTCTCCAAGTCCACAAATCACATGTAGACTGGTTGGGCGAACTCCCATGCACCCTCCAGGACCCTATTGTAGCATAAACCAYGGAAATAACTTGTTTTTCTCTAACATCTGCTATTGACTTGGTTAACTGTTTTCACCTTTGATCTTACATCCTGCAAAGRACTCACKAACTGGAGATAAATAAAATTAAATGAGAAGTTGACCCTTTCATGTTACAAAGAGACAGACTCTGATTTCGTTKTCACCTCCCTGCAAACAGAATGTAAGGAGCCTGTCTGTTACTTCAAAGGAACTTCACCAAGGGGCAATACACAGACTCAATACAAAGACACTCCATAGATTTCATCTGTGGTCAACAGCGACACCCGGAGGCGAATCGTAGTTGCATCACCACTGGAACATTTCCTGCTTATCTCTGACAAATATAAAAAAAGAACTTTGTTTAAAAGAAAAACAGTGAATATATTTGTTTTTCTTTTCTGATTTAATACTGTAATACTTACGCCATTGTAAACAAATTCACTTTGTCTGAGTTTACAAAGTATCTGATCAGAGTAGCCATAGCTCCKCCCTCTGCGGAAATTTTGGACCAATGTGAAGTTTAAACTTTTAACAAAGAGTCATCAACTCTTGCCATGTGTTTTAGTTCAAAAGTTTTGCTGAAGAATCAACAGGTCTGGAAAGAGTAGCTTAATTTAGCTCCCCCTATCAGGAGCGAGATCCGTTTTTAATATTTTTGCCTTATTTTGTAGTATCAGTCAACGCAGTTTAGGGAAAGTGAGTTAAGTTGACTATGGACTCTTGAAGCTGATTTTTATCACAATTTTGGAYGATCGGACCCTCCTGTGACTGAGCAGTGGAAGCGTCGTTACCACAGACGCCCTGCRGTAAAAGCAGATCTCAGGGAMTCGGAGGTYGGGCCGTMCACAAGCTGCTGACTTTGCCCTAAAACCTGCCTRGTACCCACGAGACCACTCTGGTGAATGTCTTCAAATCCAGTAGGAAAAGCGAGTTTGCCCTCCTTACTGTCTGCTGGTGTACGAAATCAAAGGCTGGGTCTGGCGATCATGACTTGTGTGCTAAATCAGATCATAGGTTTATTGTCTATCTCACTCCTTCTCATACACTAGTGCCCTCTTGATTAGAATTGATAAGGTTCCATTTATTTTGCTAGCATAGAAAGGTTATTTTAGCGTGTTAGTGGTTCAAAGGAATTATGCAGGAAGCTGGTTACAGAAGTTATTTTATGAGCATTACATCATCAGTTGCCCATTGAAATAACGTGAATTAAAGTTGTATTTCTGTCTGTTTTTTTCCTCTGAATTATTTTAATACACTGAGGTACTCCAAATGGGATTGCTGCTTGTCTGTGTTTTTATCGTGTTTTTATGCGTCAGAAAACTGGAAAGAATTAACACCTTCRTGTTTTAARATTGATCCTAAAATCTAAAATTTGGTTTTGCTAGCATTTAGCCATTCAATCAAATGCGGTGGTGCTCCGTTCRTAATTAACATATTTCATAAAGAGTTATGATTAAATTTAGCRTTAATAATAACCCCTACACTATTGAGGGTGTAGAACTGATCCAGTGTTCCACGACCAAGACAAAAACCACACTGCTCTTCCTAATTCTGAGATCCACTTATCTGGAGGATCTTACTCTCTAGGACCCCTGAATAGACCTTACCAGGGAGGCTTAAGAGTCTGATCCCCCTGTAGTTGGAACACAATCTGCGGTCCACCTTTTAAATAGGGGGACCACCACCCCGGTSTACCAATCTAGGGGAACTGCTCCCAGTGTCCACGCAATATCGCAGAGTCGCATTAGCTTTTTAACCAACTTGGTGACCTCAGCCCCTGAGATTGGAGAGCCCAACCCAGGGTCCCCAGCCTCTGCGTCTTCCTTGGAAGATGTGCTGGTGGGATTGACAAGRTCTTTAAAGTACTCTACCCACCGACCCACATCATTCCGAGCTGAAGTCAGCAGCGCATCATCTGCACCATAAAACGTGTTCACGGTGCACTGTCTGCTTCCTGGTGCCAATAGCACATATGGACAATTTGCTTGAACGTGGTGTTCGTTATGGACAATACATGGCAAGCACAGAAGTCCAATAACAAAACACCACTCGGGTTCAGATTGGGGTGGGGGCATTCCTTCGAGCCACACCCCACCAGTTTTTTTTTGTACCCCACCAGTTCTCATGGTCATTGCCCACATGATCATTGAAGCCCCTAGTAGAACAGTAAGTAACAGTAGTAACAGTTGTAAGTCCCCATCAGGAGTGCTTTACAGCCACCCCCCCCCCCTTCCAAGGACTCCAAAAAGTGTGGGTAATCTGATGTCAGGCGCACAGGCACAAACAACAGTTAGAATCCACCAACCCAAACGTAGGTGGGGGGAGGCTACCCCCTCGTTCACCGGGGTWAACCCCAACAYACAGGCACCAAGATGGGTTTATGYATGTATGGAGATGTAGTTGTCCAACTAAAACAACAGTAAGAGATTAAATGACYTGCTATATTTTTATACTGAAGAAGAAAAGGACAGTAATCACCACTTATTTTCCAATAAACCCACCTCTTCTGTGTCAGCCTTTATGACTTCCTTCATTACATAGACATGATCATCTCCAGGCTCTATGCTGAGTAGATCAAAGTGAAGATCGCTGTTGTTAGGTAAAAACAAGTTTTGACAATATTCAAGTGCCTCCTCCCAGCTCTTATTCTCCTTCACCAGCACCATATTCTCTGAGATGCAGACTAAAGGGAAGTGGGCATTACAGTCTTTGGTAGCCATCTTTTTTGTCAGCGAAGAGATGGAGRCACAGTTGCCATCATTACTCAACTCATCTGTCCAGTTTACAAACCATGAGAAACCTGTGCTCCAGTTCCATGATCCACCTGAAGAGTAGGACACAGGTCAGCTATCAGTGTGCTTACCAGTTAAAACAAAATCAATCAGTAGYCAGATTATACACTTCAAAGAAAAATAGAAGTACAACTGTATTGAAAGTAACACCATCTAATTAAGATTATGTTGTATACTTGTGGCTTTGGACTGAAAGTTTCTCTAAAGAAATATTCTTTAGAGAAACCTACATATATAGACTTTTTAAAAAAAGCTCTGATCTGACAGATCCGTCTGACCTGAYAAGATGGATATTTAGCAAGAGTTAATTGTATGGTGAATTAGTTACTCAGCATCAGAATTATTCTTATTTAACAAACGTTATTATATTAACTTTTACTTTTTAGTCCCTTACCATCTTTGTAGAGTCCAATCCAGACAGGGAAGTCCCTTTCTATGAAAAAGTTGTCCTCTTTTTCGGGTTTGAAATTTGCCAGATCATAATGTTCAACCTCACAGTATCGATGAGCATCATGCCAAGACTTTGCCTCTGGTACGAATGTGTACATTTGATGGTTATTATTCTCACAGAGGAAAAAGAGAAGATCTTCACAATCTTTCATTTCAGTCCTTTCAAAAGTAATAGAAAAGCGGTGGAAATATGTTACCAAACAGCAACAAAATAGGTTTATTTTAACATTACAAATGTAATGCTTGATCTCTGTAGAACAGCATCAGGACAATTTGAGTTTATGTACATTTTTTTACTTAAATATCTATTTACAAAGAGATAGGGGAAAATATAATGAACACCAAAATGCAGCAAATACAAGCACATGGATTCTTTAACATTTAAGAATAAATTTAAAAGAAAGCACACTAGTAATTGTTAAATAGGCCATTGTCAAAATTCAAACTTTCTATTAAAAGATCATGCATCTTTGCATCTTAGAATGTTTACCACCAAATTATAAAA